AATTTACCAGATTATTCAATTTCAATATTACGATGGACATTTTTTAACTAAAGAAATTCAGTTGGAGGAATATAATTTGACATCACCTCTAACTTGTGCAACTGCTCTAAGAATATATTCTAGAGATCCCTATTTAAAGGCTTATCAGGCTGAGGAGGGAGAAGCCATAGTGATAATATCAGGACATTAGAATGGAGCGGTGATTTTGTGGGAGAACTTTGAGAGGATGGATTTGATGACCACATATAAGGATCAGATAGTGTGCATAACCAGTTATCAATTTGGGATAATAATTGGGACGGATGCCAGTACTATCCATTTGTGGGATTTCAAATTCAAGAATAATATAAAGAATATAGATTTGACAGCATTTAGTTTCAAATTGTTTAGTTATGTTATAAGTGACATAGTGGTGGCAGGTGATAAATTATTGGTGGCTTCAACAGAAGGAGATGTAGTGGAGATCTTTTTACAACAGAAACAAGAACACTCTAGCAATTCATTTGTGAATAAATTAAGAGCAAATAGGATCAATTATATCATTCAATTGAGTGGAACCTTGTAGGCATTGTGTATATTGGAGAGACCAGACAGTGACGACAAATTGGTATTTTGTGCAGGATCATAATCAACAGTGTATGGATTCTCATTGGAGACTCATGAAATTGTGGATGTGTGGACTATTGGAGATTAGATATCATCGATGGATTGTATTAATTTTGAAGATGGAGGAGCAGTGTTTGCATTAGGAACAGTATCAGGCAAAGTGTATTTGAGATTGGATTGGGAAGAATCACCTAGATGGTATGATTGCAAACATTAAGTGAATGATTTGAAATTTTCATCAGATACTTCTTGTTTAGTCTGTGCAGTTTAGGATGCATTTGTTTATGTGTTCTTTTTGAACAACACATCATATTTTTAGACTGCTCCAAAGAAGATCCATTTTGAAGGGGAGTTTTCCAATATGTTTGGATTTCGTGGATGATTGCAAAGCATTTATTGTTGGTACTACAATGAAGAATCAATACAAGATAGAATTGCCTGATTTGAAATCCAAAAATTTGTTATAGGAAAATGAGAAATTGAATTCAACCACTTGGGTTATACGATATCCTCTGAGTTCAAGTAGTAATCAGAATTCAAAGAAGGAACAGTATTTGCCACTCTTGATTGGAGGTGATGTGAAGATATTCTTGGCTGCAGGAGAGGGTGGATATGTGTACTTTTGGAGAGATCGAGAATAATTGGAAACTAATTGTGGTGGATTCTTGAGAGGACATGCTAGCAATGTGAGTAGATTACAAATGACCAAATCATAGGATGTATTTTACACGGTTGGAACCAATGATAACACATTGATTGAATGGAAGATAGATTTTATCAATGATCTGGCTGATTTCTCTAAGCCATTCTAGTAGGATGATAAGTTACAAATCAACAAACCTGGACTCAATAATTTCTCCATGGCTTCCAATAAGTAGGATTTCAATTAAACCATCGATGAAATCTTCAAAAGAGAAAAAGATTATTGCTTTTTCCTCAACAATATATCTGACAAATTCAGAGACAATTTTGTTCAATTCAGAGCCACCAATCAAAAGATGTTAAATGGATTACTCCAAGAACTGATTCCACCCTTCGATAAGAAACAACATGTCATGAAACGAGCACCTCCTTTGTCTTTAACTCTTGATTACATCTACGGATTCTTAGCATACGATAAAAGGAGAACACTCTTCTATGTTCACTTCTACAATAAATAAGAAAAGAAGAGGAGAGGAGGACAACAACAATCAGATTTGAAATCAGAATAACGAAAGCGAATGGAGTAAATGAATTAGTAAAGTATTATGTTACCTGTCTAATTCCAGAAAGAAATGCTATTAGCCAAGTAAGCCTTATTACCTTACGATGATTCTCATAATGATTGCTAAAGACACTTCGTTTACATCACTTCTAGAATTGCAGTTGTCTATAATCCATTGAACAATCAACAGAAGTTCTACGAAGGACACAGATTCAAAATCACTTGTCTAGCCATTCATCCATTAAAGTGTTTTGTGGCCACAGGTGAAAGTGCTCCTAGACCTTGCATTCACGTTTGGAATGTGTTCAACACTGAACCAGTCAAAATCATCAGAACTAATCATAAGAATGGTATCTACGACTTGGTGTTCTCCAGAGATTCCTTATTTATAGTCAGTATAGGCATAGATGAAACCTATTCAGTCTAAGTGACATCTTGGAAGAATGAAACTATTATAGCATTTCGAAATTCAGGGACATTCCCAATCTGCTGTGTTATGTTCAACCCATACAATCGATATGAGTTTGCTACTTGTGGATACTAGAATATCACCATATGGTCATTACAAGGGAGAAACCTGATTAGAAGTCAAGTCATATTATCAGATGAAGTCAAGTATTCTAATGGTTGTTTCATCACCTGCTTAAGTTACATCTCCTATCTCTTAAGTGATAAAGTAGAAAGTGACATCATTGTGGGCAATAACTTTGGAGATCTGGCTTTGGTTTCCTGTGGCAAATACATAGTCGTGAAAGAGAGGTAATTATTATACTAATATTTGTTTAGAGCACATCAAAAGATGATCAATTGTTTGAAGATATCCTAAATATTGGGAGATAAGGTTGTTATCATAACTTGTGGAGAAGATGAGTACATCAAAATATGGGATACCAAATTTAATTTGATTAATGAGTTCAACATCCGTAAGACTGGATTCTTTCAGGATGGTACTCCAGCAATTAGGGTATGAATATATACATATCTCCTATTTAGAATCTATCGGCGTAATCAATCGATATCTTTTCATGTAAGGTACCCAAGAGATAACTTAATGAGGAGGAAGTGGAAGAACCCCACAATTTATCTGTGATGTTGGTTGGAACTAGAAATGGTGACATCTTGGAAGCAGCATTCTAGGTAGAGTCTTAAGGCTTAAAGTTACAACAAATTAGAAAATAGGAAAGTCATTCTGAGGATGAGCAGGACAACTCCAATGATTCTAGTGTATCTGAACAATAGCAGAGACAACATTATACAACAACAGAAACTTTGAAATTCAACTATTCCATTTACATGAGATCACATCAATCATAAATATTTGATAGTAAATAACAAATAGATTTCTTTAATAAGAAGATGTTCATCACTCTCCATCCCACCTAACCTATTATGGTATCGATGGGAGAAGATCAGAAATTAATACTCTGGGATACTGAGAATAATTCATTGCTATTAGTCAAGAATATGGGTATGACTCCGACTGCCATCCGATTATCACCAGATGGAGATCTGCTAGTCATTGGGTTCCAGAATTCAATGGTTGTGATTATGGACTCCAAGATTCAAAAGAACACAATGGGAAAAGTGAGTGAACGTTACTTGTTGCCATCCTTGGACATCATCATGAATATCAAGGATAAGGATAATAAGACACCCGTTTTGAATATAGAGTTTTCACATAAGGGGGACATGCTTGCCATCTCATATGATAATGCTCGTAGTTAGAAGGATGTATTCGACTCTAAGTTGGAAAAGGAGGGTTCTTTCATTTCCGTGTGGGTTAATAGAGGTTCTCATCGTACATCCAAGTATAGAGCAACAGACAAGAATCTATATTTGAAATACACTGACATTCGTTGTCCTTCACTTTATGAATCTTATTAGACTGACAATGACACTTATGGAGTGGCTGCTTACTTCATGACATTCAGTTAGGATGGCAATTATCTGTTAATTTATTATCAATTGATAAACAATCAGTAAACAAGAATCAACAATGATCCTCAGGGAGTGTACATCATCTGGGATCTGAATTCAAATACATCAGTCAAAAATTGGGAGACCATCAAGAACATATAGTGGAAGAAGTTGAATTTCCCAAATAGTTTGCATTCCTAATACCAGTTTTATGATTCTTTGATAGGAAATCCGAAGTAGAAGTAAGAACAAGAGACCAATTTGGCAAATGAAATACTCAAGACTCCAGTGATGTCAGTGATGGTTGACATATCTCCATTTCTAATATGTGGAAGCACCAATGGAGATTTACATCTGGTCAAATCCTCTTGTCTTTACTATGATAAAGATTTTATCACTGAAATCAGTAAAAAATAGAAGTGTTTGGCTAAGTCATATTCTGCTCATGTTTCATTTGTGAATCAAATAGAGACTCATCAGAATGCTCAATATCTTTATACTACTGGTATATTGGATGAATGCATTATGAAATGGAAATTGACAGAGGAACAATAGAATTGGGATTTGGATTATTTGATTTATGATAAGAAACAAGCAGATCTGTTTTAGGAAGTGTAAGAAAAGGAGAAATTCAAAAGTTTGTTCTCCGAGTTACTACCCTTACGTTAGGGGATATCAGATAAAGTGAAGAATGTGGATGACACCAAACAACCTGAAGTGGAACTCAAATTGGAAAGTATAATTGGAAGAAGAGCATTCACAAGGAGGAACAATCTATTTTATGACTATGATGAAAGACTGATTTATGTGGCAGGTTGCAATTTGGTGATTGCTAGTTTGGATGATGAAGATGAATAGGATGACAAGATTACATCGTAATTTAAGAAATACAATGGAGGACAATTGCAATCAGAGAGCAATTCAGTGTTCCAATAATTCATTAAGTTAGATCAATCAGATACATCATCATCACCTGAGATCTCATGTATTACGTTGAGTCAAGACAAGAAATTATTGTGTGCTGGTACTATTGAATTGAATGCTAAATTATTGATTTGGGATATATGTTCAAGAACGTGTGTTAAGAATATTGTCATCAATAATGCAGTCATGATTATGAATATCAAATTTGCTTATGACAATAGACATCTTATT